TTGCGAGCTGCTGGCAGCCGCGGCTGCTTGCGGCTGCTGGTGGGCAAGCCCGCTGCTGGTGGGCGAGCTAGCTGCGAGCTGCTGCGCGGCTGTTGGCGGCTGCTGGGAAGCGAGCTAGCGGCAAGCTGGCTTGCGCTGCTGGCGGCGAGCTGGCTGGCGTTGCTGGCGGCGAGCTGGCTGGCTCTGCTGGTGGCGAGCTGTCTGGTTGTGCTAGCGGCTAGCTGGCTGGTTCTGCTGGCGGCGAGTTAGCTGGCAACGTTTGCGACGAGCTAGCTGGCTCTGCTGGCGGCGAGCTAGGTGGCTCTGCTTGCGGTAAGCCAGCTGGCTCTGCTGGCGGCAATGCTGGCGGCTGGCAGCTGGCTGGCTATCGCGCTGTCAGGCGGCTGTTGGCTGGTGAGCAATCAAGCAAGCTGGCCGCGGCTGCTGGCTGGCGTGCTGGCTGGCTAGCAATTGAGCTGGCGAGCTGGCGGCGAGCTGACTAGCGAGACACGCAAGAGGCGAGCAGGGGCTGGTGGCGACCAGCAGGTGTGAAATAACGGGCTAACGGCGAAACTGCAAGCTAGCGCAGTTGGCGCTGACAAGCTAGGGAGCGAGCTGGCGGGGGAGAACCTACGAAGCACGAAATCGCAGAATGGAAGGTGCGATTTTTTTATTATTTTTTTTGTTGCGGAGCGACCTATTGCAATCGATCAGGACAATTTGTTTTTCATCGCAAAATTTATATTACACGAGAAAAAAAAGCCACAAACACTAGCTTATTTCTGTTACATTCAACGTATACTTGGTAGACATAGTCGTGCTAGTGATCCAACGTAAAGATTGATAATATGTGCACATTTTTTCAATTGATGCACAACAAATTACAAACCAGGAAACTAATACAAAACAAATGCCGATAATTTATTTCCTACCATTTCCTTTTCTTTTCTACATAACGAAACATACAAAATATCTGTCACTTCCCTAGTGCTAGCAAAGGAGGGAAGTCAATGGAGTAGTGACTTAACAACACAAATTGTGAATTTCAAAAAAACGTTTGCACTCATCACTTCCTGTTCAATTGTCTACACTCACGGAGTGTGTAAAGAACCATATGTGAAATGATGAGAACATCCCAGTTTTTGAAAAGCACGAAATACATTGCTCATACAAGCTGCTGATACTGGAATGATTACAATAAGGGAGCAAAGACCATCAATTAAACAACCAAGGAAAAAAATAACTTCAACGCCATAGAAGACATTCAACATCCTGGAGTAGGATTAAGATCTGTGTCATGACATGCAGAATCAAGAGACGAAAAAAAAAGGGAAAAAGGAATCAGAAACAGGTTGCAACCACAACATTGGAAGATATGGAAATACATTGGTTGGAAAGATACACGAGACATCGAACTGAGGGTGGAAATGGGGAGGTAGAGAAGAACTCAATGAAAGGAAGGAAAAGGAATAGAGTGAAGAGTGAGGTGAGGGGAAGGGGTAGGATGCATGTCATATATCAAAGCTGAAAGAGATCTCTATATTTTCATCAACTACTTGAGGAAACCAAGAGAGAAAATCTTGGGAAAGGTGGATGGGAAGGGCTCACAAAGGAAATTAGGCTACTAAACTTACCGAGCTCGAGTAATATGTCATAAAACTGTTAGCAAAGCAGCCAGCAGTGGCTGATGGAGTGCAGCAGCCTAATCAAGGAATCTCTACTTACTTGCTGGAAGAGAAGAGCAAAATGTGAGACTTGCATACAAAGGAGGAAGAATAGAACTCTAGGGGAAGAATGACTCCAACAGCCGCATTTCTGCAATTCTGTACCGAGCTGACAAGCAGTGTTGGAACAGCCATGTATTTTTGCAGCTCTGAAGAAGTTTTTGGGTTGCGGAGCAACCTATTGCAATCGATCAAGAGAAGTTTTATTTTCAAGTTTTTTTTTATATAATAAAAAAATCAGGAAAAACTCACCAGAGAAATACATAAACTACTTATCAGTACTCTTGAAATTCCAAGTTTGATACCATATATTGTCTTAAGTTTGATTTAATGGAGATATTACGTAGAAAATAGTAGTCTAATACTTATAATTACACTAAGAATCACACGAAAGAACTATGGAAAATAAAATCAACATTCTTCCATTTCCCATCGACTCATGTGGGGTATTATTGTCGTTGACTAAAGGCTATCATTTCCCCAGCTCTAGCCAGGGGGGAGGGGGGGGGGGGGAGCATCAAGCCTAGTGTGAATATATATTTTTAAGTAATAGTTTTTGTGAGTACCAAAATCTGATTTACCCTCATCGCTTCCAGGTCAATTGATTGCATCCACGTAGAGGGTCAAAGAACCTTCATGAAACGATAAGAGCAATCACAAAACATATTACCACAAGTGCAAAATAAGAAGCAAACGACACAAAACGGCAAAGTCAAGAAACAAAAAACATCAAACCAATCGTAAGACGCAACTAATTACGAAAATGATAGAAAACTAGAAAATCCAATAACTAAACTCCGTCCCCACAAATAGCATATAACAGCCCTCACGAAGCAAAGAACATTCACGAAGGAAACCTGAGCAAAAAGATTAGGGTGAACGGGAGGGACAGAGCATGGGAAGGAGAACGAAAAGAAATGAAAAGAATGTGACGAAAATGAAGAAAAAAACAAAGGTACAAAGGAAGAAGGAATGGGAAAAGGGAGGGAGGGAGGGAGCAACGCGCACGGCGCCAGCGTGCCACGTGCCTACACGCACGGCGCCTGCTTGCACGGTGCCTGCGCGCATGTCGCCAACACAGCAGTGCGCAAGGCACCAGCGCACAAGTCGCTAGCGCGCTAGGCGCCAGCACTTTACCCCAGCACGCTAAGCGCCAGCAGGCTATGCGTGAAACGAGTGCAGCACCAGCGGGAAATCTATTAAAATAACTTCAGCTATTACAAAGTCAACCAGCAACAAGACTGAAGTTCTCTAAAACGTTAGGGCATAAGGGAGGAAAAACGTAAGACTAAGGAATGGAGGAGGAAAGATTGTCGAGGCACGACACCACGTAATTTTGGGTTCTGAAGGATGTCCCACTTTATATTTCGTCCAAAACTACCCGGCTTGATTTATCGTGTAGATAACGAAGCCTCGTTTTTATGATAAACTGGAAGCATAGTCCATAAGGCGTCTAAACGGCATTTGCGTCCAACAGCGAGCTCGTGTGGGCGAGAAAAACCATTTCGGTGACAGGGCAAGACGAGTCTCGCCAATGAACACAAAAGTGGCGAGGTGTGGCATGGGAATTAAAGCGAGAAGCTAAAATTGTGAAGGCTGGCCCAACTTGAAAGAGGGCTCCTTCTGAGCAACTCAACTTGGAAACTAGCTTCAACAAACAACTGTTCCAAAATGGTGCGGGTAGGCAGATCGGAATTTCAGCTCACAGCTGATTGGTTCCTGCCAAAATGTTCATCGCAGGGCGAAATGCGCGATATGCCATGACAGCGAATCTGACAACGAATCCGTGTCAGGGGTCGCACTCGTTGATGCGACACTTGCACGGCGAGTGCAAGCGATGGGCTGGGGTTCTCGGATCGAGATGGGCCCAACTCGTTTTTCAAATTGGGCCTGGGTTCACAATTGCTGCAGATTCCCTTCTCCCTTTCCCACGCAAAGCGACATCCAGCTAGCTCATTCTCGCCGAGAAAGCAAGCTAGTTCCGCTAGCTGCCCCACCTCATAGAAACTTAGTGCCGAGGAGCTATGAGAGAGAGTGTGGCACTGCGGGAGAGAGAGAGAGAGAGAGAGAGAGAGAGAGAGAGAGAGAGAGAGAGAGAGAGAGAGAGAGAGAGAGAGAGAGAGAGAGAGAGAGAGAGAGAGAGAGAGAGAGAGAGAGGGTGAAACGCGGCGAGAGAGGGAGAGACGCGGCGAGAGAGGGAGAGACGCGGCGAGAGAGGGAGAGACGCGGCGAGAGAGGGAGAGACGCGGCGATAGAGGGAGAGACGCGGCGAGAGAGGGAGAGACGCGGCGAGAGAGGGAGAGATGCTGCGAGAGTGGGAGAGTCGCGGCGAGAGAGGGAGATACGCGGCAAGAGAGGGAGAGACGCGGCGAGAGAGGGAGAGAAGCAGCGAGAGAGGGAGAGACGCGGCGAGAGAAGCAGAGACGGGGCGAGTGAGCGAGAGACGCGGCAAGAGAGGGAGAGATGCGGCGAGAGAGGGAGAGACACGGCGAGAGAGGGAGAGACGCGGCAAGAGAGGGAGAGACGCGGCGAGAGAGGGAGAGACGGGGCAAGAGAGGGAGAGAAGCAGCGGGAGACGGAGAGACGCGGCGAGAGAGGGAGAGATGCGGGGTGAGAGGGAGAGACACGACGTGAGCGGGAGAGATGCGGCGTGAGGGGGAGAGACGCGGCTTGAAGGAGAGTGGCACAGCTAGAAGGAGAGTGGCACAGGTAGAAGGAAAGTGGCACGGCTAGATAGAGAGAGGCGGAGGTGCGACGAGGGAGAGAGTGGCGCAGCGGGAGAGAGAGAGGAAGAGCGACCCGCAGGAGAGAAAGAGGAGCACCACGCTCGCTCGCCCCTCACTCACCTCTCGCCATGCCACTCCCTTCCCGTCGCGCCACACTTGCTCGCCCGTCACGCACCTCTCGCCATGCTTCTCCCTTCCCGCCGCACCATACTCTCTCGTCTGTCACTCCGGCCATAAGCGCCTCTCCGTGTCTCCGCCTATCTCCCTCTCTCCACATAGCGCCTCATGTATGATCATATGCCATCGATTTTCACATTCTCTCTCTCTCTCTCCCTCTCTCTCTCTCTCTCTCTCTCTCTCTCTCTCTCTCTCTCTCTCTCTCTCTCTCTCTCTTTCTCTCTCTCTCTCTCTCTCTCTCTCTCTCTCTCTCTCTCTCTCTATCTATCTATCTATCTCTCTCTCTCTCTCTTTCTCTATCTCTCTCTCTCTCTCTCTCTCTCTCTCTCTCTCTGTCTCTCTCTCTCTCTCTCTCTCTCTCTCTCTCTCTCTCTCGCTCTCTCTCTCTCTCTCTTTCTTTCTCTCTCTCTCTCACTCTACCTCTCTATCTCTCTCTCTCTCTCTCTCTCTCTCTCTCTCTCTCTCTCTCTCTCTCTCTCTCTCTCTATCTCTCTCTCTCTCTGTCTCTCTATCTCTCTCTCGCTCTCTCTCTCTCTCTCTCTCTCTCTTGTTCTCTCTACCTCTCTATCTCTCTCTCTTGTTCTCTCTCTCTCTCTCTCTCTCTCTCTCTCTCTCTCTCTCTCTCTCTCTCTCTCTCTCTCTCTCTCGTTCTCTCTCTTTCTCTCTCTCTCTCTCTCTCTCTCTCCCTCTCTCTCTCTCTCTCTCTCTCTCTCTCTCTCTCTCTCTCTCTCTCGCTCTCTCTCTCTCTCTTTCTTTCTCTCTCTCTCTCACTCTACCTCTCTATCTCTCTCTCTCTCTCTCTCTCTCTCTCTCACTCTCTCTCTCTCTCTCTCTCTCTCTCACTCTCTCTCTCTCTCTCTCTCTCTCTCTCTCTCTCTCTCTCTCTCTCTCTCTCTCTCTCTCTCTCTCGCTCTCTCTCTCTCTCTTTCTTTCTCTCTCTCTCTCTCACTCTACCTCTCTATCTCTCTCTCTCTCTCTCTCTCTCTCTCTCTCTCTCTCTCTCTCTCTCTCTCTCTCTCTCTCTCTCTCTCTCTCTCTCTATCTCTCTCTCTTGTTCTCTCTCTCTCTCTATCTCTCTCATCATTGATTCACAACGAACAGCATAAAGCCCACCTTGATAAGATGAACACATGTACAAAAGGGCCACCATTATGTATCTAATATATGAACAGGTATAATCATATTCTATTTACTTCAGTGAAAGCATTGACAAGGCATAAAATATCGACTGACTATGCAACATATAGTTTAAGTATAAGAATGTCATTAAAGGTTTACAAATGCCACTGAGTGTACAAAAGGGCCACCGCTATGTATCTTATATACGAACAGGTATGATCATGTCCAATTTACTTCAATGAAAGCCTTGATATGGCATAAAATATTGACTGCCTATGTAACATATACAGTAGTTTAACTATAGGAATGGTATTAAAGGCTTACAGATACCAAAATGCTTATTATTTGTTACGATATGGAAATTGTTGCATTACTGAAAATGACGCTCGGGCCGTAACACTTGTCCATTCCAAGCCCATGACGTGAGGAACGAAGTGCAACGGTCGTTGACCCTTGACCGACAGTGGAACCAACATAAGCTCAAGGGTCCGTCACGACAACAAGAACACATAACGAACCCTGCATTACATGTCAACTAATAAATACAACTCCTTGTAGACTGGCAGTTCTTGATTAGTCATTGATTCAAGCTTCGGCTACATCTTGGACCTGTGACATTAGTGGTGTTCGATAGGCAGGGAAATTTATGGTTAATGGTCCTCCTAGCCATAGCCTTAGAGATATGACACCTATGCACATTGCTGAGTTGTCAGAGGCGGCAGCCAGTGCATCACCACACTCAAGGCGGAGAACGTGAGCCTTCGTCGGGCTTGCGGTGAGACGCATCACAAGTCGACTGTTAATGCAAGCTCACGTTCGCCATTAGTGGTGACATTAGTGGTGCACTGCTTCGCGAGCACTTCGTGCATGTAACCGCATGCAAGAACGCACGTAAGAAGCTACACAGATGGCATCACATGGGATTTGTCATAGAATACATGTCATCTTTCATCGCCATCTGCGACGAAATCGACAATTCGCACGAGACGGAGAAGATGAGTCGATAATCCTAGGGCTGAAACCGGAGGTGCAGCAAGAAATTCCCATGCGCCGCACGACGACGTTCATAGAGGTGCAGCAGGTTGCAGAGACATGAAACGAGAATAGTGTGTTTCCGAGGGTGGATTTTCAAGAGGGAAATCATTCGTTAGGGCAGAAAATCTGCCCATCTATCAATGGCATGTGAAAGGGAGACACCCATGAACGAGCCAATAAAGAGCAAATTAGCATATAGATGTGTTCAAGGATTCAGCAAGCCTCATCTTCTCACATGAGCACCCCTCGTGGATGGCTCCAGGCCTGGGTGCTCCTGACACATGGCTCCTGGCTTGAGCACTCTTAACGGATGGATCTAGGCTTGAGCTCCCTTGACAAATGGCTCCAGGCCTCAGCGCTCCTGACGAATGGCTCTTAGCCTGAGTGCTCCTACTGGAATGTCTCCAAGGTGGTATGGCTATAAAAGTTAGCAATATAGCTTGTCTTTCCTAGAATCTTGTTTAGCAGATAATGTCATGGGTACCTTGGCTGTTCAATAAACTACTTGACAAATTTAGAGTCAAAAGTTGTGATTAGGTAGGCCTAAGAGGCCAGGCTGTGTTTGCAACATACCATACTATGCTGTAAAAACTTTGTGTTGAGGAAGAATCATGAGCACATTGATCTCTAGAGTGTGAATGACACTTGCACATCTAGTGTACACTCAAGCATCAAATGCTTACAAGCATGTGCCTGCAGACATTCATTGCTTAAAGGAAATTAAACGTTATGTCAGACTATATAGAACCCAATATTTATGAAGACCAGTGGACTAGTCAGCTACAATGGTCAGTAGGAACCGAATCACCACCCCCCCTGTCCTTCCCTTGTCCCCACAACACTGCTCCCTATCCTCTCGCCCCTCACCAGCCTGTGAAGCAAAGGAGCTGCTACTAGACTTGTTGCGCTTCCTTGCCCCAAATGTGCACCTTGACTTGACTTAGAAACCTTCTTACATCCCTGGCATACCTCCAAAAAACCCTCCCCCTCCCCCTCCCCTCCACCTTTATCTCCCCACCAACGCAGTCACTGAAGCAGCTGCTGGATGGCACGTTCTTCCTCGCCCCCGACCTACTCGCTAAATTGTCTAGTATGTTCCTCTCCCCCCTCTCCCCTCCCTTTCTCACAGCATGTGAAGCAACTGCTGGATGGCACGATCTTCCTCGCACCCGCTTCGACATCTTGCACGTTGCTGACATGGCACTGGCACACGTGCTGGCCCCGAAGAAGCAGAGCATGAAGGGCAGCTACATCTTGTGAAACGAAGACACCCTCTGCTACTGATCACTAGTACATTTGCCCTTTTGAAAGCCCTTAAACTAGCACTAGCTGTCACAGGATCAAATGGGTTGAGAGAAAGTTGCACTATCGATTGATACAAGGCGCTTTTGTACTTCCAGGTACCAGGTACCAGGTTTTATACTTCCAGGTATCAGGTAACCAGGTTTATCCTATCCAAAGGGAATAGACCCTTCTAGAAAATAGAATCACCCTGCGTATAGCCACGCGAGGCTTTTCACTTTAAGGGATTACGGCAGGATTACGCTAGATATAGCGCGCCAGTAGATGTCAAGCCTAGTCAGTAATATATTTATAATAATAGGATAAACCAAAGGATAATGGAAAATAAGGAATATGAAACCAAATAAGATGAGATAAAGACCAAATGAACCAAGATAAAAAGAAGAATGAGTTAGAGAATAAATATAGAAATGAGAAAGTAGTACAATGGTGTCGTACTCTCAGACTTCCCCCACTCAAAGCCGGGTGGTAGAAGTAACACCTTGCTTGTCAAGGTAGTCGCGAAGAGGACGACGGGCGATACCCATGTCTGATTCAAAGACCCAGCTATCCTCAGAAGGATCATAACCCTTCCGACGGATGAGAAGCTCGAAGGTGCCATGCCGACGACGACGGTGTGCAAGCACAGACTTGGCTTCGTACTCGGGTTCATCATTCACGAGAGCGGGCGATGGTTGGCGTCTAGTGAAGATCGTGTTGGGATGTCGGTAGGGCTTGAAAAGTTGGACATGAAAGGCGTTGTGAATCTTCCAAGTAGCTGGCAGGCGTAAGCGGAAAGTTACGGGTGACCTTAGATCGCAGAAGCAAGGTCATAGCTTGGATGGGAGGTAGTTGATGTCGAGGTTGCGGATATCGAGTAAGACATGGTCTGCTATGGTAATTGTGTGGTCACTGCGATGGTGATCGGCTTGGCACTTTTGTTGCTATTGGATGTCCAAGAAGCGTTTGAGGGTTTGCTCCCAAAGCTGGTACATGGTTGTGATGAAATCGTGTGTAGGTTGGAGTGTAGCTGGTATTGTCGGTTTTTGTTGTGTAAGTGGGTTGCGTTCGTAACAGAGGAAAAATAGTGTATGCAGCATGTGTGGCATTCTTGTAAGCAAACTCCGGAATGGGTAGGTGCAAGTCCCACGTGGAGATATCATTTTTGCATGCTGCAAGGTGGCGTTGCTCTACAATTTATTTGAGACGTTCGGTTTGTCCGTCTGTCTGTGGGTGGTATGAAGATGACATGGTCGGTTTGGTGCCAAGCAGAGACATCAGTTCCTTCCAAAAATTGCTGGTGAACTTAGGGTCTCGGTCGGGGATGAGTGTGGTTGGAATGCCATGATGTGATATGATGTAGCGAACGAATACTTGTGATTTCTCCTCGGTGCGTGCTGTCGTGTGTCGGGATGAAGTGTCCCATTTTGGATAATTTGTCGATAACAACAAGGATTGCGACATGGCCACTGCTGGTAGGTTGCAACCCGGTGACGAAGTCCAGGGCTGACCACTTGCCATGGCTGTTCTGGGACAGGAAGAGGCTGTAATAATCTGGCTGTCTTCTGCTTTACCGCTCTTTATCCGTTGATATGTGTCGCATGAGGTGACCAATTTCTATACGTTGTCTGTTATGTGGGGCCAGCATTAGTGCTTTGCAATACAAGTGATCGTCTTGTTGCTACCGAAGTGTCTGCCATAGAGCATATCGTGGTATTCTTCGAGTAGTAATTGATGCAAAGGTGTATAGTTGGGCACCCACATTTTCGTTGATCCTTTCCAGTACACGATATCATTGTCCCACTGTAGTAGATGTTGTTTCTCTACCAAGGGAATCTCGGGGTCGATGGTATACGCGTGTATGAAGAGTCCCTTGAGGAGCGGATTCATCCCTTCGATTTGGATAGCGGCAACGTGTGCAGCCTGGCTGAGAGTGTAAGTTTTGATTCTGTTTCCTAGCTTGTACACGATGTCGTAGTGAAAATGTGTCCCGAGGAAGTAAATTCACCGGTCCTGTTGCCTGGAGAGGTTTGGCTGCGTCTTCAAATATTTAAGGCTGCAGTGGTCAGTGTAGACAGTCGTTTTTCGTCCTTCGAGATAGCATCTTTATGTTTTGAAGGCGATGACAATAGCAAGTGACTCCTTGTCGAGTATCGGGTAATTTAGTTCTGCCCCGTGTAATTTCTTGCCGAGATAGGCGATTGGTTGCAGTCCATTCCCTTAGTCTTGCATCAAGACTGCTCCGATTGCCTGGTCACTTGCGTCAGCTTCGATGACGTAGTTGCATTTGGGGTCTGGCAAGATGAGCACTGGTGTGGACGTAAATGGACGGGCAGGGCAGCTTACCGTCGACGTGGACGGCAAGGGACTGGCCATCCTAGCGCTGCCCCTTCAGGTGGCGGCGCAGGTCGGCGAGCCATGCTTCGAAATCCACCGTGCATCCCTCGGATTCCAGGCGGAGGAGGCGTCCGCCATGGCGCTCGGGTGTCAGCAGAGGTGGCCGCAGCTCACTACCAGCGGCCGCACGGCAGCACAGCCGCAGTAGCAAAGGACACATACTTGTGTTGGTGTTGTACTCTCTAAGAGCATGTACCTATCTAGCCTATAACTATACATAACAAATATGTATACGCTGACACTAATAACCATTCTTGAGAAACAATGTGCACATGACAATGACCTAATGGCATGACCTGATATGCGGTTGCATAGGCATAAGTGAAATGCTTACCGGACCGGGACTCTAGATAATCTCAGTTACTACATAGAGCCCAATGAAAGTCAAGACAGTAGGGTGGAGTGGCTAGCTACAGTAGCTGGAATAGTATACCACTTATCACTAGTAATGTATCAGGGAAGTTGTTCATAAATATGTGCGAAATGTGCACTCAACGCCCTAGTTGTTTTACGACGACACGCCTTCCTCTATGCGAAAAAGAGCCGACATGAAGGCAGCGAGACGAGACCAGTCTCAACTTATACATATGCTTTACATATAGAAGTTATAGGCTAGATAGGTTTGTGTTCTTAGAGGGTACAATACCAACCCTATATGTTCCCTGTATATTTGTTCTACTTACTTTGCTACTCTGAGATGGTATCACGCTAGGTAGGCCATCCGCGCTTCCACCCTAGCCTACCATCAAGCACCCCTACCAAAGCCCCCCATGCCTACCCTAGCCTGCAGCGCTGGTCCGTAGCTTGCTGCACCGCGTCGGCCCTCAGCTCGTCATGCTGTGCTAGCCCCTAGCTGCCGCGCTGGCCCCTAGCTGCCACGCTGGCCCAGCTCGCCGCGTCAGCCCCATCTTGCTGCGACGCCCTAGCTTGCCGCGCGGCCCCTAGCTCGCCACCGGCCTTAGCACCCCGCCGGCCCCTAGCTCGCTGGCGGCCTTAGCTCGCTGAAGGGCCCAGCTTACCGCAGGCCCCAGCTCGATGTAGGCTCTGGCTCGCCGCAGGCCCCAGCTCGCCGCCTGCCCCTAGCTTGCCGCCAGCCCCATCACGTCATGCAGCTCCAGCTCACCACTGGCTCCCACTTGCCCCCGGCCTTCAGCTCACCGCGCGCCCCCAGCTTGCCGCCGGCCGCAACTCACCGCGCGGACCCCAGCTCGCCTTCGGCCTTGGCTCGCCGCACCACCCCAGCTTGTCGCCGGCCCACAGCTCGCCGCGATGCCCCAACTCGCCATCGGCCCCATCTCGCCGCCGGCCCCAGCTCACCGCGCCGCCCCGGCTCGCTGCGATGCCCCAGCTCCGCTTGCCAGCCCCGACACGTCGCTGACCCTAGTTCCCCGCTATGCTGGCGCTCTTGTCGGCTGTCTCCTCTCTCACGGATTCACCGCGCTCCACCTTACTCTACCGCACTGCACCGCACCCCACTGCACCCCACCGTACCCCACCGCTCTCCATCCCTAAGAGAGGGAAGGGTGCTGGGGGTGGTGGGGGTGGCGAGAGAGGCGGAGGCAGGAATGTTGGGAGTGGCGACGAGTGGGTGGGGGCTGATGCCCAGGAGGAGTAGCAGGAGCAGCAGCAGCAGCCGCAGTAGCAGCAGCAGTCGCAACGGCAGCAACAACAGCAGTGGAGGGCCCGGCCGCCGTGGTAACCGGGCGGTTTTGGTGGTGGTGGCCGCAGAGGCGACCCTCGCAGCTCGGCACCGGGTGGTGGCTCCATGGCGGTGAGTTGCCAGTACCAGCTTCAGACCGGTCCCCGTCGCAGCACCATGTGTGACCGTTCCCAATCACAACGTCGCCCGCTGCTACCGCCGCCTTGACGACCTCTTCCGTCTCAGCTTCGCGCCCGCTCCGGACCTCCCGGACATGCATAGCCTGGTACGTTGCTGTGTGCCGTTCTTTGAGATGGATATGGATCAGATTCACTCTAATTTGTATGCTATGTATGCTGATGACTCTAGTGTGATCGGACCATATTACCCTGTGTTTT